CACAACCCGATTGAAGAGTAAGGTAAAGGTAAAGGTTCCCTTGCTCGAAAGCCAGTCGGGTCCGACTCTAGGGTTGCGGTGCTCATCTCCGTTTCAAAGCCGAAGAGCCAGCGCTGTCCGAAGACGTTTCCGTGGTCATGTGGCCGGCATGACTAAACACCAAGGCGGAACGCTGTTACCTTCCCACCGAAGTGGTACCTATTTATCTACTTGCAATTTCTTGCTTTCAAACTGCTAGGTTGGCAGGAGCTGGAACTAGAGACGGGAGCTCACTCCGTCATGTGGCACCCTGGGTCTCAACTGCTGAACTACTGACCTTCCACAGCCTGCAGTTCAGTGTCTTAACCACTTGAGCCACCGCAGCTCCGATTGAAAAGTAGATGAAGGTTTATTTAGGGACTAACATACTCGATAGGAAAGAGGAGAGACAGAGAGAGGTTCCTAACTACAGAGGGAAGACTGAGTGTGGCACTTCCAAGGAGGAGGAGGAAATTGCCCTAAGAGTAGCAATCTGGAGGCAGACAAGGAATGACACTTAACAGAAGAGAAGGAGGGGGTGTTCCCACTATCTGAAGAAGTGTGCATGCACATGAAAACTTATACCCGAGATAAAACTTTGTGGGTCTTAAAGGTGCCACTGGACTCAAACTTTCTTTAATTAAAAGGGGATGCTGTTTTGATTTTCATGTCGAGTAATAGATGGCTGGTTGGTTAAGACGCTAAACTGCAGGCTGGAAGGATGGTAGTTCAGCCGTTCGAGACCCAAGTGCCGCATGATGGAGCGAGCGCCCGTCTCTGGTTCCAGCTCCTGCCAACCTAGCAGTTTGAAAGCAAGAAATTGCAAGTAGATAAATAGATACCACCTCAGTGGGAAGGTAACAGCGTTCCGTGCGCCTCGGTGTTTAGTCATGCCGGCCACATGACCACAGAAATGTCTTTGGACAGCGCTGGCTCTTCGGCTGGGAAATGGAGATGAGCACCGCAACCCTAGAGTCGGACTCGACTGGCTTTCGAGCAAGGGAAACCTTTACCTTTACCTGGTTTTAAAACTGTGTTTACCGTTGGTTTCCAAGTTTGTGATGTGTCCTGAGCCTTACCAAGAAAGGTGGTCTTGAAGTACCTGGAATAAAAGAGTCAGTAAACTGAAATTCAGGATCAGGATCAGGCCGCTACAAGAAACTCAATCTTAGATCGTGTCTGCTGATTTGGCAGTTTTACAGCTCTTCCAATGAATGACATAAACGTGTAGGCCAAGCTGGTTGGTAAAGTTCTGAGGGCAGCCATTAAAATCAATCCTAAACATTTCCATTAGCTTTTAAATCTATACATTTATCGAAGTAGTAGATACACACACGAAAGTGATGAAGTTCTGCATGTGAGTTGTGTGTACGGGGAGAACATCCCGTGGCGGCCACCCCACCTGCAGTTGACTCTGTGTCTCTTTCCCATTCCTCCAGGGAGAAGCCCAGTCTGGAAAACAATAATATACATTTCAACTCTGCAGTATCGTTCCTGAGGGATCGTTCTGCGGTGAAAACTGAAGAGCAAGAGCCCACATGCCCCAACTCAAGGGAGGCATCGGAGTGAATAGGAGAAACCCCTCAGGTCCTCCCGGCTGGGAGAATGGAAAGGGGGCCAGTAGATCAGATGAGTCCACATGGAGTGGAGGATTCCCTTTCCCTCCAGCAGTGGGAAGCCCAGTGGAAAGAATTCCTCAGGACAGTGGAGAGCCGTCACTCTCCATGGGGAATCCCCCCCTTGCCAGAGAAACCTTCACCTTGGAAAGATGCCAAGGCCTTTCTGGCCTCCTTTGAGCAAGTGGCCGAAGCCTGTCAGTGGCCCCAGGAAGAGTGGGCGACCCGACTCCTGCCAGCCCTCAGCAGAGAAGCCGAGAAGGCCTTCAAAGGGCTGGGTGTTGGGGACAGAGAGGATTATGGGAAGCTGAAGGCAGCCATCTTGCGAGGGGAAGCCCTGAGCCGGGACAAGCAGCGTGAAGAGTTCCGGCATTTCTGCTACCAGGAGGCCGAGGGGCCACGGGGAGCTTATGGCCGACTATGGAAACTGTGCCGTGGGTGGCTGAGAGTGGAGAATCACAGCAAGGAGCAGATCCTGGAGCTCTTGGTCCTAGAACAGCTGTTGAGTGTCCTTCCCCCGGAGATCCAGAGCCGGGTGAGGGAGAGCGGCCCCGAGAGCTGCTCCCAGGTGGTGGCCCTGGCCGAGGAGCTCCTCTTGAGGCAGGAGAAGCAGGTGAGGCCCTTCTGCTGCGTGGGTCCTGAGTGTGGGAGGGCCTGGGATGGAGCCAGGGCTGAGGTCTCTATCTACATCAGAGGGGAGGAGGGGAGTGCCAGGATGTCTGTTGCTTTCTTTCCCTGGAACCTGAATCCCGAGTTTTCAGGAGGGGCAGAATTCCCTCTCAACTTGGGAACCAGTGGATTGGCCCATACTGATGGGGTCACACACCCCTCCCCGAAAAAGCAGGTGCTGGGGGTCTGGGTGCTCAAGATTCCTCCCCCCCATCCAGAGATGAGTGGTGTGGCCCGGAGAGTCCTGAAGACCTCCTCCCATCTCCCTCCTCCCGTACAGTTCAGTGGCTGCCATTATGTCTCGGTAATGGTGCCTTCTTCGCGTATTTCGCCTTGCTAGAAGTGTTTTGTAATGTGCTGCTTGACATTTTCAATATTCCCTAAGCAAACTCGGTCCTGCTTTCTCTGTATTACATACCAATTAATCTGCTGAACTCAGACTGGGGGGACCGGAGCTCCCATGTGCCTGTCCCCCCTCTTTGTTGCTCTGCTCCGAAAGGGTCCCTCTCTGCTTTTGCAGGTGCCCTTGGAAGAGATAGCTGGGGCCAGGGCAGGCCAGGATCCATCTGAGAGCAAGCAGGGGCATCCCTCGGTGGGCGTCAAGGAAGAGGAAGATGGAGAGGCCAGCTTGTTGGGTAAGGCGGGATACCTGCTGGGACCTCAGACTGGTGAGTCTCGGAAGCTCCTTCTGGGGCTGAGCTCAGCAGTGGCTCCTTTCTCTCCTGTCAAGGGCTGCTTCCCTGTCCTTTGATTCCCCGGAGGACATGATATGCTCGGGAGAGAAGCTGGCGACTTAAGAGGAGCCCAGCTGGACAAAGCACGCGTTCCTTTAGGAGACACCAAGATGCCTTTGGGCCTTCCCAGTTCTTTGCCCCCTGCCTCCCCAGAAACCAGAGTGGTCCCCTTTGGATTGTTCGGTTTGTTTCACAAGGCTCCCCCCCCTCCCGCCCTGCTTTTCAGAGGCTGCAAACCAACTCATGCCCTGTGTCAAAACTATCACACAGCTCTCTGGATTTCATGACAGGTTTTGTATTCAAAAGGTAAAAGGTAAGGAGCTGCGGTGGCTCAAGTGGTTGAGACGCTGAACTGCAGGCTGTGGAAGGTCGGTAGTTCAGCAGTTTGAGACCCGAGTGCCGCATGACGGAGTGAGCTCGTGTCTCTAGTTCCAGCTCCTGCCAACCTAGCAGTTGCAACTCAGGAATGTAAGGAATCAATGTAAGTAGACAATAATCATTTTTCCATGTGGCAGTGTTTTGAGATGAATAGCCCCAAAGATGTTTCAGTAATGGGAATTTTTTTTTCACTTAAGTCAGCCCTTATTATATCATCATTAGCTCTGTATACGCTGTCTGTTACCTTGTCTAAAATGCAGTATTCACATAGTTTAGCATGCCAATGCTCAATAGTAGGGGAAACATTCCTTATCTGGTTGTCAGGTTGGACAGACCTTGGGGGGTTCGCTTCAGCTTGCAAATTAACAATGCAACCTCAGACGCAGCTCCCGGCAGCAGTGGAAATATTTGTTAAAACAGTTCATTTAATAGATAAAACAATCTTTACACTCACGGGCTGTGTGCAGAGCAGAAAACAGCCCTCGTTGAAGCCATTGGCAATAAAACATGTAACTTGCAAAGATAAAATGACCATTCATAAAAGGAAGCTGCAGCTTTTCACCAATGATTCCTCGCAGCACATTCCATAGCCAAGTCAGCCTGGGGAAGCAATCTGGGACGTCTTTCAGGACAATTCATCACATCCACGCCCAAAGAAACTCTGGTGCGTCCTGTAACAATGATACCCCTGTCTAACCAAAGCTCCCATTAGATAACGAAACCTTGCAGCTGCTGGTAATTACCACGGCACGCAGCCTCCCCTCCCTAAAGGTAAAATCCTGCCCAAACTTAGGATCCTTTCTGATCACTGAGGCTCAGCAATTTATAAACTCATTTCTCTCATCCCTTACACTGGTCGTTTAACAGGAGATGCTGGGGATTGAACTAGGGGCCTTCTGCACGCAAAGCAGGTGCTCTGCCACCGAGCCACGACTCCTCTGTGCCAACTCTGCTAATTGGAGGAGAGCTCTTTGAAGATGCCGCCCTGCATCTTTCTCTCTGGCATCTCCTCCTTTGCAGAACAGCCTTCCTGACATTTCATGAACTGTGTAAGAAGGACTTTTCTGTGGCAGGAGAGAAATCAGAAGTCTTGCAGTTAGAATCTGACATAATTTCTGTATCTAGGCGGAAGACAAGCGTGGAAGCCATTAAACCAGAAGTTGAGGGACCAAGTGTGTCTCCTCTCTCTCTTTCCCATATCCTACAGGGGAAAGCATCATGTGGAAGAGGATAACATATTCTAGTCCTGCAGCACCAGAACTGAGCGATCATTCAGAGCAAGAAATGGAGAAAGAGACTCCCACATTTCCCAAATTAGAGGAAATACCAGAGGGAAGAGGAATAACCCCTCATGTTCTCCAGGCTGTGAATACTGGGGAAATCCTGCAAAAGAGAACAGGACATCCAATCAATCAGCCTGCAGGGGAGGGATCCCTTTCCCTCCAGCAGTGGGAAGGCCAATGGCAGGAATTTCTTAGGATGCTGGAGTCCTCTCACTCACCACGGGGAATCCCACACTTGCCAGAAAAACCGTCACCCTGGGAGGATGCCAAGGCTTTTCTGGCCTCCTTTGAGCAAGTGGCCGAAGCATGTTGGTGGCCCAAAGAAGAGTGGGTGACCCGACTCCTTCCGGCCCTCGGTGGAGAAGCCGAGAAGGCCTTTAAAGGGCTGGGTGTTGGAGACAGAGAGGATTATGGGAAGCTGAAGGCAGCCATCTTGAGAGAGGACGCCCTGAGCCGGGAGAAGCAGCGTGAAGAGTTCCGGCATTTCTGCTACCAAGAGGCTGAGGGGCCACGGGAGGCTTACAGCCAACTGCGGGAAATGTGCCGTGGGTGGCTGAGAGTGGAGAATCACAGCAAGGAGGAGATCCTGGAGCTCTTGGTCCTGGAGCAGCTGCTGAGCGTCCTGCCCCCGGAGATCCAGAGCCGGGTGAGGGAGAGTGGCCCTGAGAGCTGCTCCCATGCAGTGGCCCTGGCTGAGGAGTTCCTCTTGAGGCAGGAGAAGCAGGTGAGGCCCTTTTGCTTTGTGGGTCCTGAGTGCAGGAGGGCCTGGGGCAATGTTCCCTCTAAGATGCGAAGTCTTGTGAGCAAAAATTCTACTTTGCGAGCTACCGGTATTAAAGTTATGAGCCAGCGATTTGGCTGCTGCATAGTTTTGCTCTGGAGCCCTCCTTCCTGAGCTAAGACAAAAATGTGTGAGCCGGAGGCTAAAAAATTGTGAGCTAGCTCACACTAACGCAGCTTAGAGGGAACACTGGCCTGGGGTGGAGCTGGGGCTGAGGTCTTTGCCTCAGGAGGGAGAAGGGGAATGCCAGGATGTGATGGAAAGGTCTCTCGCTTTCTTTCCTTGGAAGCTAAATCCAGAGTTTTGGGGTGGGGAGGAATTCTTTCTCAACCTGGAAACCAGAGGATGGGCCCATATTGATGGGGTCACCCTCCCCCCTGAAAAATCAGGTCTTGGGGTCCGAGCAGGTCTTGGGGAGCTCACGTTTCCTGCTTTCTTGTCATCTCCATGGATGACAGGTGTGGCCTAGAGAGTTCTCCTGACTTCCTCCCATCTTCCTCCTCCCATACAATTCATTATGTTATGGGCCTTCTTGGTGGTAATGCATTCTTTGTTTATTTCACTTCCCAACCAGTGTACTGTATAATGGCGCTCAAAATTTTCAGTATTCCTTAAGGAAACTTTGTCCTGCTTTCTCTGTAAATAAAGCTGCTAAACTCAAATTGGGGGAAATATCCCTCGCCTATGCCCCCCTCCCCATTAGCAGTCAGACTCTCACTGAGGGGCAGTTTATAGCTAGAAAATCATGAACACCCTTCCCACAATACCATTTCAAATATCATAAATGCAATACACTGCCTGGCCCAAAATGACCCAAAATGGATGTCAGCGAGAGACAAGTCTGGACATGTAGTTTAGAAGTGTCTGAGCAAGAGTGGCTGGCTAGCTAACAACCTCATCCCCACCCTAGGGAGATGCATAATTTGGGACAATGGGTCTCCCAAGACAGATTGCCTCACCTTGGACTAATCTCCAAATGCCCAGCCTCACTTTCTTTCACCCCTTTACCCTTATTTAGCAACCCTTCACACTATTCACAAAACCTGTTAGCTTTTCCCATCTGGTACTTTACACGGGCATCTAGTGCCATTCACACCTATAGGTTACCTCAGAAAAATCCATCAAACGTCTCCCAAATAATTGTTTACCTCCAAACAAACAATCAGGTTATTGTTTTTGAGGCCAAAGACTGTTTTGCCCTATAAAGTATGGCATCCTGCTCTTGAGTGTGTTCTTGGCCAAAGCCCCACTCCGTGGGTTCTCTTCTCTTTGTGAAATGCTGGCTGTTTTGCTGCTGCTTCCCAGACCTCTGCAAGATAGATAAATATTACCCTCCCACCAAAAAAAGCTTCCCCTCCTTCCTCCCTGATTTCCTCTTAGTTAGCTATTGCACATGTTTTCAGTGTGTATGTATGTGTGTTTTGCTCATTTCTGGTTTGTTTTTTTTAAAATAAAAGCCTTTCCAGTTGAAGATCTGCCTGGTTTATCTGAGACTTCTCTCTCTCTTTTTTTTAACAATATTTTTATTGAAAATTTTACAATACAATAACACAAACAAAGAGAAACGAAACAAAAAACAAAACAAACAAACAAACAAAAAACCAATAACTTAACATCACCAAATTCAGAGAACGATAAACAGCGCATAGATCATGTTAACTGACTAAACAAACATTGGTTAAACTCTATAAGCTTAATTAGAATCATTTCCTTTAGAAGTCGGAAGTAAAAACTACAACCACAATTAATTAAATAACATTATCTTATATTTTGCAGCAACTATGCTTTCCCATTCAAAATTATCTAGCGATATTTTCCCTAATATAGGATTCCAGATATTTAGAGGGTTATAGAATTCACACTCGTTTTTGGTTACCGAGTTGTGTATTGAAAGATTTTCCGACATAAATATGTCCCAAATCTTATTGATCCACTGAGTAACTGTCGGTGGGTTTTTGTTTTTCCAATTTTTCGCTATTGTCGCTTTTGCCGCCATAACCAACAAATTAACTAATTGTCTCATACATTCAGGTGGATGAACTTGCGGCCACAGGTGAAGAAGTAACAACTCTGGTGACAAAGTTAAGTCTATATTAAGTAATTTGTTGATCTGAGACTTCTCTTAAGGGAAAAATCCCCGTAAACATAGATGGAGAATCCCATTTACCCCCTCTCACTCTGTTCCCTTAAGCTAATTCCTCCAATTAAATAGGAGACTACCTCTTTGGGTAACATTCCCCCACCCCCTGTCTTTGTTGCTCTGCTCTGCAAGGGTCCCTTTCTGATGTTGCAGGTGCCATTGAAGGAGGCAGCTGGGAACATCTCTGAGGCAGGCCAGGGTCTGTCTGAGAATGGATGGAGGCATCCCTCAATGGACATCAAAGAAGAGGAGGACAGAGAGGTCAGCCTGCTAGGTAAGGAGGGAGGGAGGCCTTCTGGGGCCTGTGATATGGGACTCCTGGAATTTCCTTCTCCACTGAGCTCAGTGGTGGCTCCTTGTCTCCTTTCAGGGGTTGCTTCCCTGTCCTTTGATTCTCCAGAAGACTTGATTTTCTCCGGGGAGGGGCTGGTGACTTAAGAAGAGCCTTGGTGGACTCTTTCCTACAGGGTTCACCTAGAAGCCTTTGGGCCTTGCCAGTTTTTTTGGCCTCTCCAGGGTGGTTCCCTTTGGACTGTTTGGTTTGTTTGACAAAGCCATTCCCCTGGGTTTCACCAACTCATGCTCCATGTCACACCTATCACAAAACTCCCAGGATTTTACAACAGGTTTTTTGTATGTAACAGAAGATCAAAGGGGGGGAGGGGTGTGTGGCTAAATGGAAGAGCTAGTGCTTTGCATGCAGGTTTTTATACCCCTGCGAGGCTGACACTCCCCGAGGGAGTCTCAGAGCAGCTTACAATCTCCTTCCCTTACTCTCCCTACAAGAGAGACATCGTGAGGTAGGTGGGGCTGAGAGAGCTCTGAGAAAACTGTGACTGACCCAAGGTCACCCAGCAGGCTTCATGTGGAGGAGTGGGGGATCAAAACCCTGTTCTCCATAT